AGTCTGAAAGTTAAAATATACACAAAGGAACCTGCATGGCCAAGACAACCCTAAGAAAAAGAACAAAGCTAGAGGCACCACACTACCTGACTTCAAACTGTAACTACAAGGCTACAGTAACCAAAACAGATACATAGAGAAATGGAACAGAACAGAGGCCTCAGAAATTAACACCACACATCTACAACCATCTGATCGTTGACAAACCTGACAAAAACAAGCAATGAGAAAACGATTCCCTATTTCATAAATGGTGTTGGGAAAACTGGCTAGTCATATGCAGAAAGCTGAAACTGGATTCCTTCCTTACACCTTACACAAAAATTACTTAAGATGGATTAAAGACTTAAACACAAGACGTAAAACCATAAAGACCCTAGAAGAAAATACCAAAAGTGATGGCAACAAAAGTCAAAATTGACAAATGGGATCTAATTAAACTTAAGAGCTTATGCACGGCAAAAGAAACTATCATCAGAGTGAATAGGCAGCCTACAGAATGGGAGAAAAGTTCTACAATCTATCCATCTGACAAACGGCTAATATCCAGAATCGACGAAAGGCTAATATCCAGAATCTATAAAGAACTTAAACAAATTTATGAGAAAAAAAAGAAAACTCCATCAAAAAGTGGGTCACAGAGATGAACAAACACTTCTGAAAGGTAGACGTTTACGTAGCCAACAGACAGATGAAAAAATGCTCATCATGACTGGTCATTAGAAAAATGCAAATCAAAACCACAATGAGATACCATCTCACACCACTTAGAATGGCATTAATTAAAAAAGCAAGAAACAACAGATGCTGGAGAAGATAATAGAAAAATATGAATGCTATTACACTACTGGTGGGAGCTTTTACACTACTGGTGGGGGTCTTTTGTGTTGTTTTTCTGGGCATGTTGTAAGACAGTGTGGCAATTCCTCAAGGATCTAGAACTAGAAATACCACTATGACCCAGCAATCTAATTACTGGGTATATATCCAAAAAATTATAAATCACTCTACTATAAAGACACATGCATACATATGTTTATTGCAGCACTGTTCACAATAACAAAGACTTTGAACCATCCCAAATGTCCATCAATGATAGACTGGAAAAAGAAAACGTGGCACATATATACCATGGAATATGTGCAGCCATAAAAAAGGATGAGTTTGTGTCCTTTGTAGGAACATGGATGAAGCTGGAAACCCTCATTCTCAGCAAACTGACACAAGAACAGAAAACCAAACACCACATGCTCTCACTCATAGTTGGGAGTTGAACAATGAGAACACATGGACACAGGAAAGGGACTATCACACATCAGAGCCTGTAGAGGGAAGGAGGGCTGGGGTAGTGATAGCATTAGGAAAAATATCTAATGTAGATGATGGGTTGATGGGTGCAGCAAAACACCATAGGACATGTATGCACATTCTACACATGTACCCCAGAACTTAAACTATAAAATTAATTAATTAAAAATAAAGTTAAAATATATTGTTTTTAAGTAAACTGGCTTCTTCATTGAACTCAAATATCTTTTGTGCCCTCTCTTGACAAGAAAAATAAACAGGAAAAGGAAAAATAAAAATGAGTTAAAGAACCACATCTATTTGGATAAGAAAACAATTGTTTCATTTAAAGGAATCTAAAAAGACTGCTACCGAACATCTTAAACATATAACCAAAATGCTGAGAATACAACGAATCCTTCCCTATAATTTATGATTATAAATGGCAGAGGGGCTGAGGGTAGAGAATCCTATCGACATCCTTAGAATTCAGATTTCTAGTTTCTAGGCCCTGATGATTGGAATTTGTCAAGGAAACAGAAATGGTGTTCCAGTAAAATTTATGGAGGCTAACTTAACCTCCACAAACAATGACTGCTGAATTTGAAAAAGGATATTAAAATACCTCAGGTCTGAATATACTTTAATTTTAATCACATCATAATTATTGGGTCCTTATAAACTAATCAATCTGTGTCTGCTTGGAATTTGGTGTGGTCTAAAAATATCTAGAAGACAGGGAATAGGATCAGTTCTTAAAAGTAAGATGAGTTCCTACTTTTAAGAACTGATCCCTAAAGCATTTGTAAGAAGTTTGAAGCTACAGAATTTTGCAAATGCACCTTTTTAACTTACGTCTTAAAATATTAAACCTCTACATATTAGTAATATTACATATATTTTAAACTAATAACTTATTTTACATTAAAAATGAGATTACATTCAGTTGTGTGAAGGAATCTAACAATGGACACTAAATAGCCAAACATTTATGACTCCTACACACTACTTGAACACAGGACACTTGCAGGGGAGACTATCAAAATAAAGGGTGAAGAATATTTACATGTCCATCCTACAGCATCATCTGTTAGAATAAAGGGGTTGATTAACATTTTTGTGATTCAGCCATGTCTTTTATAAAATATAAAAACCAAACATACAATTACATTTAATACTCTGGGTCCAACATCTGCACAAATATCGTAGGAAAGTGAATTTGCCCACTATTAGAAATCTAGGCCCAAACAGAGTCTTTCAAAAGATCTTTTTCATGACTTTCTTTCCTCCATCACCCACCACCTCCATGATTAGGAGGGTTTGTCAGTGGTGAGTATGAATCAGAATCAGAAGTAAGCAGTATCTGTTAATATTTTTCTTTCTTTCTTTTTTTTTTTTTTTTTTTTTTTTTTTTTTTGAGAAAGAGTTTTACTCTTGTTGCCCAGGCTGGAGTGCAACGGCATAATCTCGACTCACCACAACCTCCACCTCCCAAACTCAAGCAATTCTCCTGCCTCAGCCTCCAGAGTAGCTTGGATTACAGGCACCCACCACCAGGCCTGGCTAAATTTTTGTATTTTTTTTAGTAGAGACAGAGTTTCACCATGTTGGTCAGGCTCATCTTGAACTCCTAATCTCAGGCCATCCAACCATCTTGGCTTCCCAAAGTACTGGGACTACAGGCGTGAGCTACCACAACTGGCCAATATCCCTTTTAAAACAAGGTAAACAGATTGTTATTGAAGGGTTCCTCTCCCATATCTCCCTTATTATGCATAAAGTCCCAAGTATAAAAGAGTAGTCATCGAACTTTAATTTTCCTGATCCCATGAATTTCCCCATTATACAGTAAGATCAACCAATATATGCGCCCGTAAGGGACTTTAGGAAGTTTCACAGTGATAGGATATCTCTTTTCTTGGTCTGTATGGAAACTGGACAATATGAAAGTGCAGGGGCATTGAGGGAGGTGTTTGTGTTTGTTTCTGAACCCATATCTAAGGAATTATTTTATGTAAATTAATTCATTTAATCTTACTCTACCTTCAATCCACTGGGCCCAAGGGGTTACTACCGAGGGCCATGCTAACGACTTTTGCACATCCCCTCCTTCCAGGAATAATCAGTGTTCACCAGAGGAAACTGAAAAGCAAGGAGATGGGGAAGATTCCAAGGATCCACTCAAACTCCTGGTGTTTTTATAACTGTTCTGTGTTTTAGACACACTTTCGTTTAGGGAAGAAATGACCTGAGCCAACTGGGATAAAGAAGAGGTCGAAAATCCATGTGGCTTAGGCAGTCAGGAGTTTAAGAGAAAGTATAGGGGTAATTTTTAGAATCTTGGCTGAAGGCCAAAGCTTCTGAATCAAGGAAAGAGTGATGGTTGCCTAACTCCATTTTAACTAATATATAGGTGTGTTACCATTACTACCTACCAGAAATAGTATAATATTAATCAAATCAAATTATATGAGTCCAACACTAGAAATATAGCAGACATTTAATATTATATTAAAGTTTAATAAATGGTAAGACTTTTCAAGGTGGTAATAGTTATATGCAGCTCTTTGGCTAAAAGTCAAAGTATGATACATACAGAATAGATACAATGTTGGACTGCCAGAGAATCTGCCTCTCCCCCCAACTCCCTCAAAATATATTAGGAACAAGCATTTGCTATTATTCTTTCAAGTATTTATGCAAAGTAATTTTAAATTATTTAAAATTCCATATGTTAATCATAGTTCATAATAAGTTAGATTCTTAAACATTTGTGCCATTAACAACAGTCAGAAACATAACATTATTTCACTGGTATTAAATGAGGCAAGCTACAGCTTGATTAAAAAATAAGTGTATTTATTAAAATTATATTTTTACATAGAGTTAGAAAACTTGCCCATGTAAAGAAAACTGTTGACCCATTGCATGTTGTTATATCTAACTTGTATATTGTTCTTACTATAGGCTATGCTCTGTCCTCCTAGATTTACATGTATTAGTTATTTTTTTCTCACAACAACCTTATGAGTTGGAACTATTAGTGACTCCAATACAGAGATGAGAAAATCCAGCCCCAGTTTATATCTCATGGTAAAGTAACAGTGAGTAATTGGGGACCAGAGATTTAAAACTAGTCCATGTGGCTCTAGAAGTCTTACACTTGGACCACTATGCCAAAAAGCACTGTACCATAAATCTGCTGACCCAGAAAAGGTGAAGAAATAATACACACCTGGCTTCTTACCACATGTGTTTTCCATCATGAAAGCAAGAGCGCTGTGTTTCAAATCTTAAATGTGTTAATAATCATATCAATTTTCCACTTAATTTATTGTGTGTGTACACAATCTAAAAACACAACCTTCTCCATTTATTTTCCGTTCTCTGTATCAATGTATTAAATTTGGCCTCTTCAAAGTCACAGAATGAAATAGACTTGCACTATATGGACAGAGCAGCATGTGAATGACACAGTCACACATTCAACACCTTTGAATTAAATTTTTCTAACGTGTTTTCACTTTCAAAAATATGACAAGAAAAGGGTCAGGAGGGCCAAATCTTCCTTTTCTTTGCTGGCAACTCCACATTGAGACTATTTAATGCTTGCTTTTATATGTTGCATTTTGCCAGTTAGTTCAATTTAGATGAAAGTGGTTGTTTTCTAATTCCATCTCACTGTAAAGGACACAGACAAAGGGTCATATTACCTTGAGAGTTCCTTTGGCAGAATAGGCTGCATATGAGTAGAGCAGGTCTTGGCTCCTGTCTTTTCTGGCTTCTTCACCGCAAGGCTGGCCATCAGGATGAAAGCACTCACCACTGCTGCTTAGAGTCACAGTGCTGGGAGAAAGGCCTGGCAGATTCAGCAGCACAGAGTAATTTACAAACTGTACATCCTCTAGGCCCAGTGAAGTCCACTGAGTCTTAATCTCCTTTGAAACTTCCATGTCATCTTCACTTTTATACAGTTGTACCAAATTTCTGAAATAAATTTTTAAAGAAAAACTTTTTTTAAAAAAGGATAATTTATTCTTTTGAGATACGGTTGCTCAATATACGAACAATATTAATGGATGTTGTGGGATACTGAAAGATGAATGAGACAGGACCCTATCCCATGAAACTTAAACACAAATCAAAGCGGAATGAATTAATTTATTAAATTAAGAACTAACGATCATTGTGGTAGTTCACGCCTGTGATCTCAGCACTTTAGGATGCCAAGGAGGGAGGATTGCTTGAGAGCAGGACCAGCCAGGGCAATACAGCAACACCCTGTGTCTGCAAACATCAAAAAAAAAAAAAAAAAAAAAAAATTAGCTAGGCGTCCTGGTATGCACCTGTGGTCCTACCTACTTGGGAGGCTGAGGTAGGATGATCACGTGAGCCCGGGAGTTAGAGGCTGCAGTGAGCTGTGATGGCACCACTGCACTCCAGCTCTGTCGACAGAGCAAGACCGTTTCCAAAACAAACAAACAAACTAACAAAGAAAACCACTTAAAGCACTTTGGCATTGCAGAGAAGAGTGAAATTAATGCCAACTAGTTCTTCTATTCGTTCTGATCCTTCTATCAACATCAACATAATCCACTTAAAAGTCAGTTCCAAAATCCAGGTTTCATTCCAATTAAGACATTTCCTTGTCATACTTAAGGTGACTTCATATGATGTGATATGATTGACATATAGCTATTGTTCCTTAAAATAATACAGAGAGAGCTCTTTAGATACAAATGTTATGCCAAATTACATGATGGTATGAGCACAGTGTTACTCAGTAAACTCAAAAACACAAATTGGTAAACCAATATGAAATTAATTTTTGTGTTGTACTTTCTGTACTTTGTATGTTTATTCCTATATATCTATCCCATAATCCAGTGACACTATTTTTGCTTATGACATACTAGACGCCAGACAAAATCTATTAAAAATCTCTTCTAGTACCTAGAAGAGAATCAGACATGAGAACTTAATAAAAATAATTTAATCCAGATTTTTTTTTAAATTTTGTGGCTGAAATTTAATAAAAAGGGACTAAAAAGGAAGAATTTCCTTTCGGGGCAAAAATGTATCTTCTTAAAAGAATCTTATTGCTCTCCAAGCTATTACCTAAATGTTTATTTTGATATTGTTGCCCATGACATTATTTTTCTCACTGATCTCCTCTAGGAACCTGTTTATTCAACAACTCCTAAGCCAGGCTGGTTTAACCTATGACCCGTGGGCTGCATGTGGCCCCAGGACAGCTTTGAATGTGGTCCAACACAAATTCATAAGCTGTCTTAAAACATTATGAGACTTTTTAAAAAGATTTTAAAATTTTTTATTTTAGCTCATCGGCTATTGGTAGTGTTAATGTATTTTATGTGTGGCCCAGGACAACATGAGTTCTTCCACTGTGGCCGAGGGAAGCCAAAAGATTAGACACCCCTCAACACTACGTGCATGGAAAAGAAATAAGAAACAGATACAATAGTGGTAAGAAAGCATTACAAGAGATAAAATGTAAGTCTGATGCCACAGCTTAGAAGCTGGCCTACACAGGAAGATGCAATAAAAAGTTACTCACCTATCTCTTATCTTTTTGAAAGTACTCCTGTTTTTGCTTTCTTCCCTTTTCCTTTATAATTATTATTATTTTTTAATATCTACTTGGATCAGTCAACAGAGCAACCTACATTTTGTGGAAGAGCTGGTGAGGAGAATTACATTCTTTTTCATTCCCATTAAGAGTGATCTGCCTTCGACTTGGTTTCATTGTTGTTATTTTATCTGTTCTCTACCTTTTCCTACCCCCTTTCTCTATTGCTATTGTATTCTCTCTGTGTATCTGGGAGAGGGCAGGTAAACTGAGTTAAAACAACACAATTTGACAGGAAAGTCATTTATTTAAAAAGGTGCATCAAAAATGTTCTTTAAAATTCATATAAATTGAGGTTTTAAAACACATATTTATATAAACATAGCAATATATGGTCAACATTGACAAATAGAAAAATGTGAAGATTGCTTTAGATTTTGTTTGCTCCTGTGCACAGTTAATTGATGAATAAAAATATGTCAAGGCATGTGCAAGATGTTCAATCTATCAATCTTTTTGTTGGTTTCAGTTGCTTTATGGTGCAAACAACTGAAAACATGGAATGTTATACAATAGGGCCTCAAAAGGCAAATGAAATACTTCTTTCAGGGCTCAACTGAAGAATTAATAATTTGTCCCAATTGTGGAGAATTTCTAAATATTTTTCAGTACTAAGCTAAAATTAATGAGTCAAAAAATTTATATAGCCTTTACTTCACTTTTATACCATCATTTTTAATATGACAAAATAATTTCAACACATGAAGAATATACAACATATATAATGTATACAATGTATAAAGAATAGTGAAAGGAACCAACCAAGTTATGAAGTAGAACATCTCTAATATTATCACAGCTCCTGGAATCGTTTTCCTCTATTGTGTCACTGACCTTGATCCCCAGGGTAAGCATCAATCTGATTTTGTTTCCCATTGTCTTTTTTTTAATAGGTCTATATACATACATATATATATCTTTAACAATTTGTTTAACTTTAGGGATTTTACTTTTTCATAATTGGTATCTTATATATGGTTTTCATATTTCCCTTTTTTACTCAATATTGGTTGCTTGAGATTCCTCCACATTTTTAATCAATTTTCCTGAGAGAAATATTTTAAAGTTGTTTTCAGCCTGTCACTATTGTAAACAATGCTGCACTGGATATTCTTTTTTTTTTTTTTTTTCGTTTTTTTCAAGAAGGGGTCTCACTCTGTCACCAGGCTGGAGTGCTGTGGCCATATCTTAGCTCCCACTCCCAGTTCAATTGTTCAAGCAATTCTCCTTCCTCAGCCTCCCGAGTAGCTGGGACTACAGGCATGTGCCACCACGCCCAGCTAATCTTTCTACTTCTAGTAGAGAGAGGATTTAACTATGTTAGCCAGGATGGTCAGGAGCTCTTGACCTGGTGATCTGCCCGTCTCAGCCTCCCAAGTGCTGGGATTACAAGCGTGAGCCGCCGTGCCTTGCCTGATATTCTTATTCATGTTTCCTGATAAACATATGCGAAAGTTTCTTTAGGCAAGGAATTATTGGTCCATAAGATATGCAGCTCAGTAACTTTAAAAGCATATTAAAAAATGTCAAAATGCTTTTAAAATATTTTTGATTAAACTCTTGCCATCTCTTCATGAGAGCTCTATTTCCTCCATTCCTCAACAATACTTGGTATTGTCCATTATTTTATTTTACTTTTTTATTTTGTTTGATACTTTGTCAATGTAGTGAGTGTAAAGTAATATTTCATTATATGTTTAACTCAGAAGAACAAATGCTGGATTCCAGGATACACTAGTTTTCCAAGGCTTCCTTTACCACCTTCTGCTCTTGTATCTAATTTCTGCTCTCCAATGAGAATAAAATTTTATCCCACTGTTGTTTTAATTTGCATTTCCATGATTACCAGTGAGGATCCTTTAATGCACTATTTAGCTAGTCATGTTTCCTTTTATGTATAATAACTGTTCTTGTTTTTGCCTATATTTATAGAAGTTTTTGTATGTTCTGAATAATCTTCTTTAGGTCATATGTATGGCACATATTCTATCTCAGTTTTGGTCTTCTCTTTTTATTTGTAATGTATTGTCTTAAGCAAAAGTTTATAATTTTAATTCATAGAGCTTTTAATATAATTGTTTTCACATTTTCTGATGTGCTTAAGAAATCCTCAGTCCTGTGTCCTGAAGTTACTTTCTTTTTTCATAAAAGTTTTGAGGAGTTGTTTTTCACATTTCAGTGTTTACTTGGAGAACATACGTGTATGTGAGTGCAGGTGTGTGGTGGGAGACAGGAATCCAATTTCACTTTTTTCCAACTTGAGTCCTAGTACCCTTTGTCAAATACAACCTATTAATGTGCAATCACAACTCTGTCATATATATATGAGTTGCCATATGTGTATGAGTCTGTCTGGGTTCCCAAATCAATTGAATTTTTCTTTTTGTTCCATATCCATAATAATGTGCTGTTTTCATTATTACGACTTTATTATAGGTCTTAATATCCAGAATGAACAAGCCAGTCTTCTTGTTCTTCATCAAGAAATCTTAACTATTTTTCTTTTCTCTTCCATATTGGAATGAACCCGCTAATTTCCATGCCAACATTGTGACTGCAATTACATTGAGACTAAAGCTCAGTTCAGAAAGAAACGCCAACCTTATAATAATATAACAACAAATCCTTAATATTATTGCCATACTCTGAATGTTTATTCATATGTCGAAATCCTAACCCCCAAGGTGATTATATTAAGAGGTTGGGGGGTCTTTGGGAGGTGATTATGAGAGCAGAAAATTCATGAATAGGATTAGTGCCCTCATAAAAGAGGCCAGAAGAAACATTTTTGCTCTTTCCATTATGTGAAGACATAGCTAAAAAGCACTGTCAGTGAGGAAGCAGGCCCTTACCAGAAACCACATGCATTTTGATCTTCAACTTCACAGCCTCCAGAACTGTAGGATATAAATGTCTGTTGTTTACTTGTTCTCTAATCTAAGGTATTCTGTTACAGCACCCGAACAAACTAAGATAACGGTCAAGTGTCTTGTCAATGTTAACAAACATAAAAATACGTTTTAAAATTTGCTGGTGTAGAGGAATACTATTCACATGTTCTATAAAGTAATCCTGCTAAACTGTATTTTTAATTATAATAATTTTCTTCCATTTTCTCTATGTAAGAAATTATACCATATGCAAAATAATTAAGGTTTTATTATATCTCTTCTAATTATTTAGAGAATTAACTTTTTTTATATTACCACCCAGGATATGACCTGCAGAAAATATTTAAAGGAATGACTAATAATGTGTGATAGCAGACATCCATGTTGTATTGTATGTAACAGGTTAAAGATGTTCCTTCCATTTTCATGTTGTTAACAGATATTTT